GGAATGGGATCCTGGGTGTACACCCACCATCGGAGTGGAAGAATGGCAGGCGCATCTTACAGATGACTAGTCGATGGTCAGAGGGCAGATCAGCTCCACGGTAGGTCCTGGTGTCAAGGACATGGGCTCGCATCCGCTGGTCCGTCACTATGTAGTCCAGCAGATGTTCTTGCTTGGACCTGGCATGCATCCATGATGTTGTGTGGATGCGCCGATGCCAGAACAGCGTGTTGGTAATTACAAGCCCATGGGCTGCACAAAAATCTAGCAGCCTCCTACCGTTGTTATTGAGCTGATCTGGCCCATACCCTCCAATCACTCCAGACCAGGTGCCAGCATCATGACCAACTCGGGCATTGAAGTCACCCAACAAGATGACTCTATCCCGAGGGGCCACTTTGGCCAGCACCTGTGACAGGAGGTCACAGAAGGCATCTGACCCATCGGCTTTGCCTGCATCCCTCCACGGATGCTCGTCTCCGGTGGGGGCATAAGCAACCACGACCATCACTCCTCGCCTCCGGTTGATGGGAAGGCGAGCCCAAAGTAGCCTGGGGCTTACAGCTTCCCACACCTCACCGCCGTGCTCCCAAGGCCCCCTTCATTGTTTTGTTCAAAAGAAGAGCCGCACCCTGTTGTTTGGCAGTCTGCTGCCCCGAGTAGAGGACTGTCCACCCCTCATGGTGGCAGGAGCTAGAAGTGCTCGGCTAATCCCATGAAACGCAAAACGGTGCCGTGCGTGTTAGCGCGCGTGTGGATGTCTGTATGGATGTGCGTGTGTGAGTGCGCGTGTGTGCACACGCGCGCAAACGCATACACACACATCCACACACACACACATCCACACACACACGCACACACACATCCAAACAGACATCCACACGCGCGCAAACACGCACGGCACCGTCTTGCGTTTCACGGGATTAGCCGAGCAGTGACGGTGGTGGTGGTGACGGTGGTGGTGGTGGTGGTGATGGTGGTGGTAGTGACGGTGGTGGTAGTGACGGTGGTGGTGGTGGTGGTGGTGGTGATGATGGTGGTGACGGTGGTGGTGGTAATGGTGGTGGTGACGGTGGTGGTGGTAGTGACGGTGGTGGTGGTGGTGGTGGTGATGGTGGTGACGGTGGTGGTGGTAATGGTGGTGGTGGTAGTGACGGTGGTGGTAGTGGTGTGGTGGTGGTCGTGATGGTGGTGGTCGTGATGGTTTTGGTAGTGGTGGTCGTGATGGTTGTGATGGTGGTGGGAGTGATGGTGCTGATGGTGGTAATGATGGTGGTAGTGATGGTGGTGGTGATAGCGATGGTGGTGATAGTGGTGATAGTAGTGTGATAGTGGTGATGGTGGTGTGATAGTGGGTGGTTGGTGATGGTGGGTGGTGAATAGCGATGGTGGTGATACTGGTGATAGTATTGGTGATGGTGGTGACGGTGGTGATGGTGGTGGTGATGGTGGTGATAGTAGTGGTGATGGTGGTGACGGTGGTGATGGTGGTGGTGATGGTGGTGATAGTAGTGTTGATGGTGGTAGTGATGATGGTGGTGATCGCGATGGTGGTGATGGTGGTGATAGTAGTGGTGATGGTGGTGGCGTTTCCACCACTCTCTTCAGAACTCGAGTGCACAGACACAAAGGTCCCCCAGGTAGCTTCTAGCAGGGCTGTCCAGGCAAGTGCTGCTAGTAGCTGTAGCAGCAGCAACCACCACTCGTTCATTCACCCACTCATTCACTCACCCACTCACTCACTCATCCATTCACTCACTCATCCATTCACTCACTCATTGACTCAAGCAGTGTCAGCATCATCAGCAGTGTCTGACTCACCATTAATCATCAGCCTAATCATCAGCAGCAGCATCATCATCAGCAGCAGCTAAATCTCTCTTCCCGTGTCTCCCTGTGTCTCTCCCCGTGTCTCTCCCCGTGTCTCTCCCTGTGTCTCTCCCCGTGTCTCTCCCTGTGTCTCTCCCCGTGTCTCCCCGTGTCTTACCCGTGTCTCTCCCCGTGTCTCTCCCCGTGTCTCCCACCGTGTCTCCCTGCGTGTCTCCCCCGCGTGTCTCTCCATCCGCGTGTCTCCCCCGCGTGTCTCTCCCTCCGCGTGTCTCCCTGCGTGTCTCCCCGCGTGTCTCCCCGTGTGTCTCCCCGCGTGTCTCTCCCCCGTGTCTCCCCGCGTGTCCCCCCGTGTGTCTCTCCCCCGTGTCTCCCCCCGTGTCTCCCCGCGTTTGTCTCCCACCGTGTCTCTCCCCCCCGTGTCTCCCCGCGTGTCTCCCCGCTTGTCTCTCCCCCCGTGTCTCCCCGCCTGTCTCCCTGCGTGTCTCCCCCCGCGTCTCTCCCCGTGTCTCTCCCGCATCTCTCCCCGCGTGTGTCTCCCCGCGTGTGTCTCCCCGCGTGTGTCTCCCCGCGTGTCTCCCCGCGTGTCTCCCCGCGTGTCTCCCCGCGTCTCTCCCCGCGTGTGTCTCCCCGCGTGTCTCCCAGCGTGTCTCCCCGCGTGTCTCTCCCCACGTGTCCCCCCCCCCCCGCGTGTCTCCCCCGTGTCTCTCCCCACGTTTCTCCCTGTGTGTCTCCCCGCGTGTCTCCCCCCGTGTCTCTCCCCGCGTGCCTCCCAGTGCGTGCGTGCATAGTTGAGGAGCGAGCTTCTTGGCTCCTGGCCCGGGTCAACTTCCTGGCAGCGAAGGGGCGGCCTCTGGGGGCCGCGCGATTGGCCGCTTGCTGCGCCCACGTGCTGCCCGACGACCAACGACCCGCGTTCCGATTGGCCCACGTGACGCTCGCCTGCAGCCAATGGGGCACGGGCAGGGACGAGGAGGTGCTGAGAGAGGTGAGGGAGAGAGAGACACGGGGAGAGAGACACGGTTGCCGTGGATACCCACCGGTTACCGTGGTCACCCCCCGGTTACCGTGGTCACCCCCCCCCGCCGCGCCCCCGGTTACCGTGGTTACCGTGGTCACCAACCCCTGTCTCCCCACCCCCTCCCTCCCGCTGCCGCCCCCCCCCCCCCGGTTACCGTGGTTACCGTTGTTGCCTTGGCTGCCCCCAGCTGGTGGAGGTGGAGGTGCTGGCGGCGGTGGAGGCGGTGTGCCACCTGCAGGAGGACGGTCGCCATGGAGACGCTCACAGGGTGGCCAGCGTCTTCCTGCAGCGCCAGCTACGGAGCGGAGACATGGAGCACACCAGGTGGGTGGTGGCTGTGTGGGTGGGTGGGTGGGTGGGTGAGTGGGTGGGTGGGTGTGTGAGTGAGTGGGTGGGTGGGTGGGTGAGTGAGTGAGTGGGTGAGTAAGTGGTGGGTGGGTGAGTGAGTGAGTGAGTGGGTGAGTGAGTGGTGGGTGGGTGGGTGAGTGGGTGGGTGGTGGCTGGGTGGGTGGGCTGGGTAGGTGAGTGGGTGGGTGGTGGGTGGGTGGGTGGGTAGGTGAGTGGGTGGTGGGTGGGTAGGTGAGTGGGGTGGGTGGTGGCCTGGGTGGGTAGGTGAGTGGGTGGGTGGTGTTGCGTGGGTGGGTGGGTGGGTGGCTGGGTGGGTGGGTGAGTCGGTGGCTGGGTGGGTGGGTGAGTGGGTGCTGGGTGGGTGGGTGAGTGGGTGGCTGGGTGGCTGGGTGGGTGAGTGGGTGGCTGGGGTGGGTGGGTGAGTGGGGTGTGGACTGGGTGTGGTGACTGGGTGGGTGGGTGGGTGAGTGGGTGGCTGGGTGGGTGAGTGGGTGGCTGGGTGGGTGGCTGGATGGTTGGGTGGCAGGGTGGCTGGGTGAGTGAGAGAGTGGGTGGAGTGGGTGGGTGAGTGAGTGAGTGGGTAAGTGGGTGGGTGGGTGAGTGGGTGGGTAGGTGAGTGGGTGGCTGGGTGGCTGGGTGGGTGAGTGGGTGAGTGGGTGGGTGGCTGGGTGGGGTGGGTGGCTGGGTGAGTGGGTGGCTGGGTGAGTGGGTGGCTGGGTGAGTGGGTGGCTGGGTGAGTGGGTGGGTGGGTAGGTGAGTGGGTGGCTGGGTGGTTGGGTGGGTGGCTGGGTGGCTGGCTGGGTGGCTGGGTGAGTGAGTGAGTGGGTGGGTGGCTGGGTGTGTGGGCGAGTGAGTGAACGAGCGAGCCAGTGGGCGAGCGGGTTGTGAGAGCACGCGAGCATAGCCCACGCCGTGCTCACCGTAGAGACGTCTGCGCGCAGGGACCTTGTGCTGTGTTGGTGCTCGCTCCACCCGCTCCCCTCCGAGCTGCCGCGGGACTGCCTGGCCTTGGCCCAGGGATGCTCCAACCCATCGCTCCTCCTGCACCTCCTCTGGGCCATTCAAAGCCAGGTAGGGTGCGGGGGGATTCAGCACTGAGACCCACAGACTCTGCACTGAGACCCACAGACTCAGCACTGAGACCCATAGACTCAGCACTGCTACCCATAGACTCAGCACTGCTACCCATAGACTCAGCGCTGAGACCCACAGACTCAGTACTGCTACCCATAGACTCATCACTGAGACCCATAGACTCAGCACTGCTACCCATAGACTCAGCACTGCTACCCATAGACTCAGCAGTGCACCATACACTCAGCACTGAGGCCCATAGACTCAACCTACAGATACCCCACAGAGACTCCACTGAGACCACAGATGACCCCACAGACACCCCCCAGACACCCCCACAGAGACCCCCACAGAGACCCCCACAGAGACCCCCACAGAGACCCCCACAGAGACCCCCACAGAGACCCCCACAGAGACCCCCACAGAGACCCCCACAGACACCCCACAGAGACACCCACAGAGACCCCACAGAGACCCCCACAGAGACCCCCACAGAGACCCCCACAGAGACCCCACAGAGACCCCACAGAGACCCCACAGGACACCCACCACAGACACCCCCACAGGAGACCCCCACAGACACCCCCACAGAGACCCCCAACAGAGACCCCCACAGAGACCCCCACAGACACCCCACAGGCACCCCCACAGAGACCCCCACAGAGACCCCTACAGAGACCCACAGAGACCCCCACAGAGACCCCCACAGAGACCCCCACAGACACCCCCACAGAGACCCCCACAGAGACCCCCACAGAGACCCCCACAGAGACCCCCACAGACACCCCCACAGAGACCCCCACAGAGACCCCCACAGACACCCCCACAGACACCCCCACAGACACCCCCACAGACACCCCCACAGAGACCCCCACAGACACCCCCACAGACACCCCCACAGAGACCCCCACAGAGACCCCCACAGAGACCCCCACAGACACCCCCACAGAGACCCTGTCCCCACGTCTCTGCAGGTGGGCGAGACGGGCCTGGTGGAGTGCTTGGAGCTCATCCTCCTGGGCCTTCGCGCCTGCGCTTTGATGGGCACCACGACCACGACCTCGACGACCTCGACGACGAGCTCCTCCGCAACCTCGTCAACCGATGCCGCCGCCGCCACGGCCACCACCATCGCTCTGTGCCGCGCCCTGGCTTACCTGGCACCGCCGGACGACCGTGAGTTGGTGCGTGCCAGCCACCTCACCGCCTTCCTGTGCGCCCCCTCGGCCGACGCCCTGCCAGCCCTCGAGTGCCTCTTCTCATCCTCATCATCATCGGCGGCTCCTTCGCCGCCGCCGCCGTCGTCAACGTCAACGGCGCCATCGTCAACCGCGCCACCGCCGTCGTCAACGGTGACATCGTCAACGCCACCGCCACAGTCAACAGCGCCACCGTCAACGGCGCCACCGTCAACAGCGCCACCGTCAACAGCGCCACCGTCAACAGCGCCACCGTCAACGGCACCACCGCCGTCGTCAACGCCACCGCCATCGTCACTGTCAACAGCGCCATCGTCAACGGCGCCATCGTCAACGCCGCCGCCTACGCCACCGCCATCGTCCACTTCCTCCTCCTGCTGCCACCACCGAGGCCTGCTCCAGGCCTCGCGACCAGCCCCGCCCCCTCGCCCCGCCTCGGCCAATCGGGCGGCGGCGTGCGATCCTCGGACGCCGCCCCCTGCCCCGCCGGCCACGCCCCCTTCCCAGCTGGCCAAGCCCCCCGTGGAGCCGGCCGTGCCCCCTACCCCTCCGGCCACGCCCCCTACCCCTCTGGCCACGCCCCCTCGACCGGCCCCGTCCGCCAAGCTGGAGGCACTCTGCCCGCCATTGTCAGTGGGCTCCGATTCACTCGTCATGACGCTGGTAATCGCGACGACCACGCCGGTAACCACGACGACCCCGGCGACCGCGACCCCGGCGACCCCGGCGGCGATCGCCACCCCGGTGGCGACCGCGCCAGTGACGCCGACCGCGCGGCCACCATTCCTTGGAGCGGCCCAGCCTCGGCAGCTCTCGTCGCAAGCCCCGCCCACCCCTGCCAAAGCCACGCCCACCCCTGCACAGGACACACCCACCGCCTCTCAGGCCCCGCCCACCGGCCCTCAGGCCTCCCGGGCCACTCCCCCCACCCAAGCCCCGCCCCTCCCTACCGAAGCCCCTCCCCCCGCCGCTTCATCGGCCGTCCCCTCCTCCCCGGCGGTGCCGGCCCCGGTGGCCCCGGTGGCCCCGGTGATGCCGGTGTCGATCCCCAACTCCCTGCGCACGGAGCTGCTGCTGCGCCTCAAGTCTCGCTGGCCCTTCCAGATGGACCCCGAGTTCTGGAGTCCGGCGCTGCTGCGCCGGAACTGCTCGAGGCTCCTCGGCGTCGCCGCCGCCGATGACGGCGGCGGCGACGCCGAAACGGAGCACCCGCCACCGCCACCACCACCACCACCAGCAGCAGCAGCAGCGCGAACGTGCGGAGAAGACCGCCTCCCCGTCGTTCCTCTGCGGCGTCCGCCTCCTGGCGGCCGGCACCGCTGCCGCCGCCGACGACGACCACATCTCGTGGCGGCAGCTCGTGGGGGGGCGCCTCAACAATGGCGGCCGCGCCGGCAGGAGGGGACCGGTCGCTTCGGCGCGCCGACTCAACGGCGCTCCCGCCGAGCCGCCGTTGCCGCCGCCGCCCCCGGCGGGCCCGCCGGGGCCCGCCGGGGGCGGCAACGGCGGCGCTGCCGGCGCCGACGGCGGGCAACCCAAGAAGAGGAAAAGGGGGCGGCCGCGGTTGGACGAGCGCGGCGGCGGCGGCGGCGGCTGCGCGGCGCCGGCTTTGGCGAAGGCCGGGTGCCCGGCGTGCGGCCGCGGCTTCGACCGCCGCTGCCCGGCGTGCGGGCCCAAGCGGCCGCTGCGGAGGGCGGTGGACGGCGGCAACGGTGGCAACGGCGGCGTGCGCGGTGTCGTCGCCGCAGCGGTGCCGGCGGCGGTGCCGGCGGCGGTGGTGGCGGCAGCGGTGCTGGGAGGCGGTGGCAAGCCGGCCACCGCCTTGGAGTCGAGGGGCCTGGAGAGGAAGGTGACGAAGGAGGAGAATGAAGAGGGGAAGCAGGAGGGGAAGCAGGAGGCGTCGGTTCGCGTTGGCGCCACGCTTGAGATCTCTCCCGGCGGCGTCGGTCGGCAGCCGAAATCTGGAGGAGGTGGCAGAGAAGCATCTGAAGAGGAGGACGATGACGATGATGATGACGATGACGACGACAACAACAACACGAGGGTTACCGGAGACGCGGGGCACCGGCTCGGAGCCACGGCCGGATCGTCCGCGGCCGTGGAAGCAGCCGGCCGGCCGGACGCTCCGGGGGCGAGGAGCGGCTCCGCCACACCGCGGGCACGGACGCTGCCGGGAGCGCCGTGGAGGAAGCTCGAGGCGACGGCCGCCGCCGCCGCCGGGGCGGTCCTGGATCCGCCGGACGGTGTGGGGGTGCCCGCCGGGAGACGATGCGTCACGGAGGGACGCGGCGGCCGAGGGATGCCGGCGGCCGCGGCGGCCCCTTCTGCGTTGTCCCCCTGCGGGGGAGGGGCGGGGACGCCGCGGGGGGGAGGGGACGTGGCGTGGAGGAGGGTGGACGAGGGGATGGGGGAGAGGGCGGCGGCGGCGGCGGCGGCGACGACGATGGGGGGGGAGGAGAGGTGGGAGCGGTGTGAGACGGGTGCTGCGTCACCATGGCCTCCGCCATCACCGGCGACGTCGCTACCGACGCCACCACCTTCAACGTCGCTGCCGACGCCACCACCTTCAACATCGCTACCAACACCACCACCACCTTCAACATCGCTACCAACACCACCACCATCAACATCACTACCAACACCACCATCAACATCACTACCAACACCACCACCATCAACATCACTACCAACACCACCACCACCTTCATCATCGCTACCAACACCACCATCAACATCACTACCAACACCACCACCACCTTCAACATCACTACCAACACCACCACCACCATCAACATCGCTACCAACACCACCACCTTCAACATCACTACCAACACCACCACCATCAACATCGCTAACAACACCACCATCACCTTCACTACCAACACCACCACCACCTTCAACATCGCTGCAAACGACACCACCATCAACATCACTACCAACACCACCACCATCAACATCACTACCAACACCACCACCACCTTCATCATCGCTACCAACACCACCACCATCAACATCGCTACCAACACCACCACATTCAACATCACTACCAACACCACCACCATCAACATCACTACCAACACCATCACCACCTTCAACATCGCTACCAACACCACCACCTTCAACATCACTACCAACAACACCACCATCAACATCACTACCAACACCACCACCACCTTCAACATCGCTACAAACGCCACCACCATCAACATCACTACCAACACCACCACCTTCAACATCGCTACCAACACCACCCCCACCACCTTTAACATCGCTACCAACGCCACCACCACCTTCAACATCACTACCAACACCACCACCATCAACATCGCTACCAACACCGCCTTCAACATCACTACCAGCACCACCACCACCTTCAACATCGCTACCAACGCCACCACCACCTTTAACATCGCTACCAACGCCACCACCACCTTCAACATCACTACCAACACCACCATCATCAACATCACTACCAACACCACCACCATCAACATCGCTACCAACACCGCCTTCAACATCACTACCAACACCACCACCACCTTCAACATCGCTACCAACGCCACCACCACCGTCAACATTGCTACGAACACCATCACCACCTTCAACATCACTACCAACACCACCAACATCAACATCGCTACCAACACCACCACCACCTTCAACATCGCTACCAACAACACCACCACCACCACCACCTTCAACATCACTACCAACACCACCACCATCAACATCACTACCAACACCACCATCAACAACACTACCAACACCACCACCATCAACATCACTACCAACACCACCACCATCAACATTGCTACCAACACCACCACCATCAACATTGCTACCAACACCACCACCACCTTCAACATCACTACCAACACCACCACCTTCAACATCACTACCAACATCACCACCTTCAACATCGCTACCAACACCACCACCTTCAACATTGCTACCAACACCACCACCACCTTCAACATCGCTACCAACACCACCACCTTCAACATCACTACCAACACCACCACCATCAACATCACTACCAACACCACCATCAACATCGCTAACAACACCACGACCATCAACATCGCTACCAACACCACCACTACCAACATCGCTACCAACACCACCACCACCTTCAACATCGCTACCAACACCACCACCTTCAACATCGCTACCAACACCACCACCTTCAACATCGCTACCAACACCACCACCACCTTCAGCATCGCTACCAACACCACCACCACCTTCAACATCGCTACCAACGCCACCACCACCTTCACCATCGCTACCAACGCCACCACCACCTTCAACATCACTACCAACACCACCACCATCAACATCGCTACCAACACCACCACCACCTTTAACATCGCTACCAACACCACCATCAACATCGCTACCACCACCACCATCAACATCACTATCAACACCACCTTCAACATCGCTACCAACGCCACCACCACCTTCAACATCGCTACCAACGTCACCACCAACAACATCGCTACCAACACCACCACCTTCAACATCGCTACCAACACCGCCACCACCTTCAACATCGCTACCAACACCACCACCTTCAACATCACTACCAACACCAACACCACCTTCAACATCACTACCAACACCACCACCTTCAACATCACTACCAACACCACCACCACATTCAACATCACTACCAACACCACCTTCAACATCGCTACCAACACCACCAACACCACCACTTTCAACATGGCTAACAACATCACCACCATCAACATCACTACCAACACCACCACCTTCAACATCGCTACCAACACCACCACCACCATCAACATCGCGACCAACACCACCACCACCTTCAACAACGCTACCAACACCACCACCATCAACATCAGTACCAACACGACCACCACCTTCAACATCGCTACCACCACCATCAACATCGCTCCCAACACCACCACCATCAACATCGCTCCCAACACCACCACCTTCAACATCACTACCAACACCGCCACCACCTTCAACATCACTACCAACACCGCCACCACCTTCAACATCGCTACCTAAACCACCACCTTCAGCATCACTACCAACACCACCACCACCTTCAACATCGCTACCAACACCACCACATTCAACATCACTACCAACAACACCACCATCAACATCGCTACCAACACCACCACCACCTTCAACATGGCTACCAACACCACCACCATCAACAACGCTACCAACACCACCACCTTCAACATCGCTACCAACACCACCACCATCAACATCGCTACCAACACCACCACCTACATCACTATCAACACCACCATCAACATCACTACCAACACCACCATCAACATCACTATCAACACCACCATCAACATCACTACCAATACCACCACCACCTTCAACATCACTACCAACACCACCACCATCAACATCACTACCAACACCACCACCTTCAACATCACTACCAACATCACCACCACCACCTTCAACATCAACATCACTACCAACACCACCACCACCATCAACATCGCTACCAACACCACCACCACCATCAAAATCGCTAACAACACCACGACCATCAACATTGCTACCAACACCACCACCACCTTCAACATCACTACCAACACCACCACCACCACCTTCAACATCGCTACCAACGCCACCACCACCTTCAACATTACTACCAACACCACCATCATCAACATCACTACCAACACCACCACCACCATCAACATCGCTACCAACACCACCACCACCAACATCGCTACCAACACCACCACCTTCAACATCACTAGCAACACCATCAACATCGCTACCAATACCACCAGCATCAACATCGCTACTAACATCAACATCACTACCAACACCCCCACCACCTTCAACATCGCTACCAAAACCACCACCATCAACATCGCTACCAACACCACCACCATCAACATCGCTACCAACACCACCACCACCACCACCTTCAACATCGCTACCAAGACCAACATCACCTTCAACATCGCTACCAACACTAACATCTACATCGCTACCAACACCACCACCACCTTCAACATCGCTACCAACACCACCACCTTCAACATCGCTACCAACACCACCACCATCAACATTGCTACCAACACCACCACCATCAACATTGCTACCAACACCACCACCACCATCAACATGGCTACCACCATCAACATCGCTACCAACACCACCACCTTCAACATCGCTACCAACACCACCACCACCTTCAACAACGCTACCAACACTAACATCAACATCACTACCACCACCACCATCAACATCGCTACCAACACCACCATCAACATCACTACCAACACCACCACCATCAACATCACTACCAACACCACCACCATCAACATCGCTACCAACACCACCACCATCAACATCGCTACCAACACCACCAACACCACCTTCAACATTGCTACCAACACCACCACCACCACCATCAACATCACTACCAACACCACCACCATCAACATCACTACCAACACCACCACCATCAACATCACTACCAACACCACCATCAACATCGCTACCAACACCACCATCAACATCGCTACCAACACCACCATCAACATCACAACCAACACCACCTTCAACATTGCTACCAACACCACCACGACCATCAACATCGCTACCAACACCACCATCAACATCGCTACCAACACCACCATCAACATCGCTACCAACACCACCACCATCAACATCGCTACCAACAACACCATCAACATCGCTACCAACACCACCATCAACATCGCTACCAACACCACCAACACCACCTTCAACATCGCTACCACCACCACCACCATCAACATCACTACCAACACCACCACCATCAACATCACTACCAACACCACCACCATCAACATCACTACCAACACCACCATCAACATCGCTACCAACACCACCATCAACATCGCTACCAACACCACCATCAACATCACAACCAACACCACCTTCAACATTGCTACCAACACCACCACGACCATCAACATCGCTACCAACACCACCATCAACATCGCTACCAACACCACCATCAACATCGCTACCAACACCACCACCATCAACATCGCTACCAACAACACCATCAACATCGCTACCAACACCACCATCAACATCGCTACCAACACCACCACCATCAACACCACCAATACCATCAACATCGCTACCAACACCACCATCAACATCGCTACCAACACCACCATTCACATCACTACCAACACCACCACTTTTAACATCGCTACCAACACCACCACCATCACCTTCAACATCGATACCAACAACACCACCATCAGCATCGCTTCCAGCACCACCATCAACATCGCTTCCAACACCACCACCAACATCGCTACCAACACTACCACCACCATCAACATTGCTACCAACACCACCACCATCAACATCACTACCAACACCACCACCACCATCAACATCGCTACCAACACCACCTTCAACATCGCTACCAACAACACCACCACCATCAACATCGCTTCGAACACCACCACCACCATCAACATCGCTACCACCACCACCATCAACATCGCTACCAACACCACCACCACCTTCAACATCGCTACCAACACCACCACCATCAACATCGCTACCAACACCACCACTATCAACATCACTACCAACACCACCACCACCTTCAACATCGCTACCAACACCACCACCACCTTCAACATCGCTACCAACACCACCACCACCTTCAACATCGCTACCAACACCACCACCTTCAACATCGCTACCAACACCACCACCTTCAACATCGCTACCAACACCACCACCATCAACATCGCTACCAACACCACCACCACCACCTTCAACATCGCTACCAAAACCACCACCATCAACATCGCTACCAACACCACCACCATCAACATCGCTACCAACACCACCATCAACATCGCTACCACCACCTTCAACATCACTACCAACACCACCACCACCTTCAACATCGCTACCAACACCACCACCACCATCAACATCTCTACCAAAAACACCACCACCATCAACATCGCTACCAACACCACCACCACCATCAACATCGCTACCAACGCCACCACCACCATCAACATCGCTACCAACACCACCATCAACATTGCTACCAACACCACCATCAACATCGCTACCAAGACCACCACCGCTTTCAACATCGCTACCACCGCCACCTTCAACATTGATACCAACACCACCATCAACATCGCTACCAACACCACCATCAACATCGCTACCAACACCACCATCAACATCGCTACCAACACCAGCACCACCACCATCAACATCGCTGCTACCAACACCACCATCAACATCACTACCAACACCATCACCACCATCAACATCGCTATCAACACCACCACCATCAACATCGCTACCAACACCACCACCACCTTCCACATCACTACCAACACCACCACCATCACCATCTTCAACATCGCTACCAACACCACCACCACCACCTTCAACATCGCTACCAACACCACCATCACCATCTCTACCACCACCTTCAACATCACTACCAACACCACCAACACCACCACCACCACCTTCAACATCGCTACCAACACCACCACCATCATCAACATCGCTACCAATACCACCACCACCATCAACATCGCTACCAACACCAACACCACCTTCAACATTGCTACCAACACCACCATCAACATCGCTACCAACACCATCATCAACATCGCTACCAACACCACCACCATCAACATCGCTACCAACACCACCACCATCTTCAACATTGCTACCAACACCACCACCTTCAACATTGATACCAACACCACCACCTTCAACATTGCTACCAACACCACCACCATCAACATCGCTACCAACACCACCATCAACATCGCTACCAACACCACCACCATCAACATCGCTACCAACACCACCATCAACATCTCTACCAACACCACCATCAACATCGCTACCAACACCACCACCACCTTCAACATCGCTACCAACAACACCACCATCAACATCGCTACCAATACCACCACCATCAACATCACTACCAACATCACCACCAACTTTAACATCACTACCAACACCACCACCATCAACATCGCTACCAACACCACCATCAACATCGCTACCAACACCACCATCAACATCGCTACCAACACCACCATCAACATCGCTACCAACACCACCATCTTCAACATCGCTACCAACACCATCACCTTCAACATTGCTACCACCACCACCAGCTTCAACATCGCTACCAACACCACCATCAACATCGCTACCAACACCACCATCTTCAACATCGCTACCAACACCACCACCACCTTCAACATTGCTACGAACAACACCACAACCATCAACATCGCTACCGACACCACCATCAACATCGCTACCAACACCACCACCACCTTCAACATTGCTACCAACACCACCACCACCATCAACATCACTACCAACACCACCATCAACATCGCTACCACCACCATCAACATCGCTACCTACACCACCACCATCTTCAACATCGCTACAAAGACCACCACCACCTTCAACATTGATACCTACACCACCACCACAACCTGCAACATTGCTACCAACACCACCACCATCAACATCACTACCAACACCACCATCAACATCGCTACCAACACCACCACCATCAACATCGCTACCAACAACACCACCACCTTCAACATCGCTACCAACACCACCACCATCAACATCGCTACCAACACCACCACCATCAACATCACTACCAACACCACCACCACCTTCAACATCACTACCAACACCACCACCATCAACATCGCTACCTACACCACCATCAACATCGCTACCAACACCACCATCTTCAACATCGCTACCAACACCACCACCACCTTCAACATCGCTACCAACACCACCATCAACATCGCTACCAACACCACCATCTTCAACATCGCTACCAACACCATCACCTTCAATATTGCTACCAACACCACCACCACCATCTTCAACATCGCTACCAACACCACCACCTTCAACATCGCTACCAACACCACCACCTTCAACATTGCTACCAACACCACCACCACCTTCAACATCACTACCAACACCACCAGCTTCAACATCGCTACCAACACCACCACCACCATCAACATCGCTACCAACACCACCACCATCAACAACACTACCAACACCACCACCATCAACATCACTACCATCACCACCACCTTCAACATCACTACCAACACCACCATCAACATCACTACCAACACCACCACCTTCAACATCGCTACCAACACCACCACCACCACCACCTTCAACATCGCTACCAACACCAACACCACCATCAACATCGCTACCAACACCACCACCACAACCTTCAACATCGCTACCAACACCACCACCACCTTCAACATCACTATCAACACCACCACCTTTAACATCGCTACCAACACCACCACCATCTTCAACATTGCTACCATCACCATCAACATCACTACCAACACCACCACCTTTAATATTGCTACCAACACCACCATCAACATCGCTACCAACACCACCACCATCAACATCGCTACCAACACCACCACCATCAACATCGCTACCAACACCACCTTCAACATCGCTACCAACACCACCACCACCATCAACATCACTACCAACATCACCATCAACATCACTACCAAAACCATCAACATCACTACCAACACCACCACCATCAACATCGCTACCAACACCACCACCACCTTCAACATCGCAACCAACACCACCATCAACATCGCTACCAACACCACCACCATCAACATCGCAACCAACACCACCATCAACATCGCTACCAACACTACCATCAACATCGCTACCAACACCACCACCACCTTCAACATCACCACCATCAACATCACCACCATCAACATCACTACCAACAGCATCGCTATCAACATTACCAACACCAATATCACTACCATCAACATTGCCACCAACTTCACCACCGCCATCAACATTAACACCACCATCACTACCATCAACATTGCTACCAACATCACCACCAACATCACCACCGCCATCAACACTACAAACATTGCCATCAACATTACCACCGCCATCAACACCACGACCAGCAACATCGCCATCAGCGTCACTATCACCATCACTACCACCATCACCACCATCGATCCCTTCGCCAGCATTGAAAGCAGTGCGGTCGGCGACATTAACAGGACTGGCATCATCACCATCAATACCATCACCTCAGTCGACCTCCTACCCACCAACATCACGACCACCATCACCACCACCAGCATCAGTAGTTTCACAGCCACCATCGACACAGCTACCATCAACAACGCCACCATTGCCATCAACATCTGAACCAGCACCATCACCAGTACAACCATCACCACCATCATCATTATCCCTACAACCATCATCATCCGTACAACCATCAACACCACCACCGCCATCATCATCTGTACAACCATCACCACCGCCGCCATCAACACTACCATCGACAGCATCACCAGCGCCGCCATGCCAAGCATCACCACCTTCACTACCACCTCCATCAGTAAAACTATCAACACCATCACCTGTACAACCACCAACACCATCATCATCTGTACAACCACCAACACCATCATCTGTACCACCACCAACACCATCATCATCTGTACAACCATCAACACCATCATCATCTGTACAACCATCAACACCATCATCATCTGTTAAACCACCAACACCATCATCATCTGTACAACCATCTACAACATTATCTGTACAACCACCAACACCATCATCATCTGTACAACCATCAACACCATCATCATCTGTACAGCCATCAACACCATCATCTGTACAACCATCAACAACATTAACTTTACAACCACCAACACCATCATCATCTGTGCAACCATCAACACCATCATCTGTACAACCATCAACACCACCACCGTCATCAGCATCACAACCTCAACCATCACCACAATCTCAACCATCAACGTCATCTCCACAACCACCATCCCAGCCGCCGTCAGTGCAACCATCACCACCATCACCATCTGTACGACCACCGCAACCACCATCAGCGCCACCACCTGCATTGGCATTGGTACAATCACCACCAGCGTCTGTGAAAGCACCACAACCATCGTCACCTTTACGTACAACGCCGTCGCCGTCGTCCGTACAACAACAACCGCCGCCACCACCAACGGCACTACAACTCTCGCCTCGCAAACCATTGCCACCGCCATCGTCGTCACAACCACCACCACTAACGTCGTCGTCGTCAGCAGCAGCAGCATCGTCACTGTCGACAACGGCTTCCGGCTCGGCCGGTCCTCCGGGTGGAGGTGGTGGAGGAGGAGGTGGAGGAGGAGGTGGAGGAGGTGGTGGTGGAGGAGGAGGAGGCATTACCAGCGTCAGTGTCCCCGTCGCCGGACGGCAGGAGGCTGCAGCGTCCCCGGCGGACGCTGTCGCGACGAAGCCGAGCGAGGGGCGGGTGACCCGGAGCCAGGCAGGGCGGGGACAGGCGGCGACGTCCAAGACGGCCGCCAGGAAGCCGGCGGCCACGGCGGCGGTGGGGACGGCGCGGAGAGGGGGCAGGAAGCACCGGGGGGGCGGTGCCGGGGGAGGGGCGGAGCCGCCGAAGACGAGGGGGGGGGGAGTCAACAAAAGGGGCGGGGCCATCTGGCAGGAAAGGGGCGGGGCCGTCTGGCAGGAAAGGGGCGGGGCCATCCGGCAGGAAAGGGGTGAGGCCGTCCGTCAGTAAAGGGGCGGGGCCGTCGGTCAGGAAAGGGGCGGGGCCGTCGGTCAAGAAAGGGGCGGGGCCGTCCGTCAAGAAAGGGGCGGGGCCGTCCATCAAGAAAGGGGCGGGGCCGTCGGTCAAGAAAGGGGCGGGGCCGTCGGTCAGGAAAGGGGCGGGGCCGTCGGTCAGGAAAGTGGATTCGCAGAAGGGAGCGTCGCCGTCAAGGGAAGGGGGAAAGTCGGGGAGGGTGGCGGAGGAGTCGAAGGCCGACGGAGGCGACGACGAGGAGGAGGGGCCTCAGGAGGCCGCTGCCGTGCCGAGGAGCGGCGGGGGAAGAGCGAAGGGGGCCAAGGCCACGGGGGGAGAGGCGGCGACAAAGGGAGAGGCGGTGAAGATGAAGCAGAAGAGGAGGAGGGGAGAGGCGGCGAAGGAGGGAGAGGCGGTGAAGCAGAAGAGGAGGAAGGGAGAGGCGGTGAAGAAGGTGGTGAAGAAGGAGGGAGAGGCGGTGAAGGAGGAGGGAGAGGCGGTGAAGGAGGAGGGAGAGGCGGTGAAGGAGGAGGGAGAGGGGGTGAAGCAGAAGGAGGGAGAGGCGGTGAAGAAGGGAGAGGCGGTGAAGGAGGCGGTGAAGGAGGGAGAGGCGGTGAAGGAGGCGGTGACGGAGGGAGAGGCGGTGAAGAAGGCGGTGAAGGAGGGAGAGGCGGTGAAGAAGGAGGTGAAGAAGGGACAGGCGGTGAAGCAGAAGGAGGGAGAGGCGGTGAAGAAGTTGGTGAAGAAGGGAGAGGCGGTGAAGAAGGAGGTGAAGGAGGGACAGGCGGTGAAGCAGAAGGAGGGAGAGGCGGTGAAGAAGGCGGTGAAGAAGTTGGTGAAGAAGGGAGAGGCGGTGAAGAAGGAGGTGAAGGAGGGACAGGCGGTGAAGCAGAAGGAGGGAGAGGCGGTGAAGAAGGCGGTGAAGAAGTTGGTGAAGAAGGGAGAGGCGGTGAAGAAGGCGGTGAAGGAGGGACAGGCGGTGAAGCAGAAGGAGGGAGAGGTGGCAGCTGCGGCCGTGAAGCCAGACGCTCCGTCGAAGATGCAGCAGAGGAAGAAGCAGCAGAGGAAGAAGAAGCGGGAGGGGGTGGAGGAGGCGGGGAGGCCGAAGGGGGAGGAGTCAGGAGAGGGAGGGGCACCGACCAACAGCGATGCGAAGAAGCCGAAGAAGCCGAAGAAGGCGGCGGTGTCGCCGGCCGTGGCGGCGGGCGACACCGCCGCCGCCGCCCCGGCAGGGACGCCGCCGCCGGGCAGCGCCAACGGGAAGATCCCCGGCGGGAAACACCGCCCCCGGAGCGAGGGGGGCGCCGGGCCGCCCGCCAAGCGGCCCAAGGTGGCGACGGAGAGCTCCGGCGCCGGCGCCGGCGCCGGCGCCGTGGCCACGTTGGCGACGCCGGCGGCGGTGCCCAAGAAGCCCGGGGCGAAGTCGGGGCGCGGGCCGCAGCGGCGAGGGGCGGCGGCGGCGGCGGCGGAGGCCGCAGCCGCCAAGCCGCCGAGGGGCGGCAAGGAGATGTGCCGCTCCTGCTTCGCGCTCTTCAACGGCGCCGACGAGTTGAGCCGGCACCGCGGCCGGGGCGCCTGCAGGCCGCTGTTTGACGACGACGACGACGCCGACGCTGGCGGCGGCGGCGGCAGCGGCGGCGGCGTTGCCGTGGCGATGCCGGCGTCTCGGGTCATGCGCTCGATCCAGTTCGTGCAGCGCCTGGAGCAGCAGCAGCAGCAGGAGCAGCTGCAGCAGGAACAGCAGCAGCAGGAGCAGCTGCAGCAGGAGCAGCAGCAGGAGCAGCTGCAACAGGAGCAGGAGCAGCCTCCTGCTCCGTTGCCCACGGCAGCGCCAGCGTCGTCGTCGTTGGCGGCGGCGACACTGACCGGCCCCGGTCGGAGCACCGGGGCCGTCTGCGGTGCCGCCACCATCCCGGCTACCGCCGGGAAGGCTGCGGTTCCTGCCGGCGTCGCCCTTCCCGCTTCGGGTCCGCCCGCCGCCGCCGGTGGTGCCGCCGGTGCCGCCGGTGGCGGCGGCGGTGCCACCGGCGCTGGCGGTGGCGCTGCCGGCGGCGGTTCTAGCGGCGCAGCGCCAGCGCAGAGCTCCAAGCCTGGCCGGCTGCCCTCTTCGGTTGCCAAATCCTCTACCTCCGTGTCGGCTTCCACCACCACCTCCACCGGCGCCACCACCACCGGCACCACCACCGGCACCACCACTGGCACCACTACCGGCACCACCACCACCTCATCGCCTTTGTGGGGCCCCGGCCCCGGCGGCCGCCCGGGAATGTGGGGCCGCCCGTTCACGTCAGGCCCCGCCGCCGGCGCGGCCTCCTTCCCGTGCGGCCACGCGGGCTGCCGGTACGTCGCCGCCGACCGGCGCTCGCTCACCAACCACCGCATCGTGAGCCACCGGGGCAGGCGTCCCGGCGGCGGCGGCCCCGGCGGCGGCGGCCCCGGCGGCGGCGGCGGCCCCGGCGGCGGCGGCCCGTCCCTGTCGTCCGGTGGCGGCGCGGCCTCGTCGCCGGCGGTCGCGGGCCACGTGAGCGTCTGCTCCAAGTCGGACCCCTGGTACAGCCGCTGGCGCCTGTGGGACAGCGGCGAGGCCCGCGGGAGCGGGCGGCGGCGCCAGCGCTGGGCCGAGGCGGCGGGGGAGACCGTCGCCACCGACGGCCGCCGCCTGCCCGGCCTGAGGCCCCGGTGGTCGGAGCCGCTGGCCGCGGTCGCGGCCGCCAAGGGAACGTTCTCGTCGTCGGAGGAGGAGGAGGAGGGGGAGGATGGGGAGGAGGAGCGGGAAGGGAAGGAGGAAGGGAAGGAGGAAGGGAAGGAGGAAGGGGAGGTACCGGCGCCGGTTTCCCCGTCGCCGTCCGGCAAGAGGCAACCGCGCAGGGGGAAGGCGGCGGCGGCGACAGCAAAGAAGACGCCGCCGTCGACGACGACGCCGCCGCAGTCCCGGACTTCGCCCCCGAGCCAGCGGCAGCGCCGACGTCGCCGGCCGCAGCCGGCGGCGGCGGCGGCTGCGGCGTCGGCGCGGCTCCGGCCGTCGTCGTCGTCGCCCGAGACGGCCGAGTCCCTGCTGAACGCCATCGCTCGCGACTTCAGCCCCGCGCCGTCCTCACCGGACTCCGGCGGCCTCTCGGACGCCGGAGGAGACGCCGTGGACGGCGCCGGTGGCGCCGGGAACGAGAGGGGAGCGCGGCGTCCCAGCGGGTCGGTCGAGGGGTCGACGGCGGCGGCCAAGAAAAGACGGCGGGGCGAGGAGGAGGCGGCGGCGGAGGAGGAGGAGGCGGGCGACGAGAAGCGGCAGCGATGCCGGGACGAGGCCAAGGCGGGCGACGAGGAGCCGCTGCCTTGGCCGCACCAGGAGCGGGGGGCGGAGCAGCTGGAGGAGGAGGAGGAGCGGGAGGAGAGACGGCAGACGGCAGAGGGGGAATGCCGGGAAGCCGCCGTGATGAACACTGCGGGGGAATGAACTCTTCACCGGGGGGCGCGCGGTGACTCCTGATCGGGGGGGGGGGGGTACCTCCCCAAACCCAAAGACAACTATCTCCCCCCACCCCCCCTCGTGTCGACTGTAACAGCCTGTTGGTGGGGCAAGTGGGTTTTAGTAGTAGCGAGTAGCGACACGCACAGACACATGCACAGGCACACGCACAGACACGCACAGACACAGACACGCGCACAGACACGCGCACAGACACGCGCACAGACACGCGCACAGACACACGCACAGACACACACACAAGGCACAGACAGACACACACACAGACACACACACAAGACACAGACACACACACAGACACACAAGACACAGACACACACAAGATACAAAGATCCCCCATGTAGCCTGTAACAGACTGTTGGGGCAAGTGGCTGTTGTTTTTAGGAGCGGGCGGCGGCGGCGGCGGCAGCGCCTGTGAAGGCTGCCGGCCACCGTGGCGCACACGGAGGATGGTGCGTGGGTGTGCGTGCGTGGGTGGGAGTGGGTGTGTGTGGGTTGCACCACGGGACCCGAACGTTCAGGCTTTTGCGTCCTCGAACTTAGCGAGCGCTCCGGTGGGAAGCGCTCGGCCCCGGCGTTAGCCGGACCGCGTCGTTACTTTGTTTCTCCGGTGTGATGACTTGTGTGCAGGGAGGGGGGCTGGGGTGGTGGGGGGGGGGGGTTCAAAGCTAGAGGGAGGGAGGAGAGGCAGGGAAGGAGGAGAGGGAGGGGAGGCAGGAGAGGGAGGGAGTGAGGGAAGGAGGGAAGGAGGAGGGGAGTGAGGGAGTGAGGGAAGGAGTAGAGGGAGTGAGTGAGGGAGTAGAGAGAGTGAGGGATGAGAGAGAGCGAGGGAGTGAGGGATGAGAGCGGGAGTGAGGGAAGGAGGAGAGGGAGGAGAGGGGAGGAGGTTGAGGGAGGACAGGGCGTGAGTAGAGGGAGGGAGTGAGGGAAGGAGTAGAGGCAGGGAAGGAGGAGAGGGAGTGAGGGAAGGAGGAGAGGGGAGGAGGTTGAGGGAGGACAGGGAGTGAGTAGAGGGAGGGAGTGAGTGAAGGAGTAGAGGGAGTAGAGGCAGGGAAGGAGGAGAGGGAGTGAGGGAAGGAGGAGAGGGAGGAGAGGGGAGGAGGTTGAGGGAGGACAGGGAGGTAGTAGAGAGAGGGAGTGAGGGGATGAGAGGGGAGTTGAGGGAGTTGAATCGTTGGGAGTTTGCGATTGGCCAACCCAGGGAGGAGCCTTGTTGGGTTTTTTTTCCCCTCATCGTGTACAAAAAATATCTTAATAATAATAAGTTTCGTAACCCCTTTGGCTGCCAATAATTAAATAGGAGTTGCTTTTAAGATGTTCAAACACGCAAATATCCTCTATTCTTTCACCCATCGTTATTTTAATTTGTTTATGAAATTAAATGTAATCTACTACTGTGATACCGGCGTGAAAGAATGAGTCTCCCCTTAAAACAATACAGCCGCATCAACACCCCCTCCCTCCTCCTAGAGCTTGCGACGGATCCACTGATCCTTCGCCTTGACTGAAAGCAGGAATTCATCTTGTTGGTTATCTCGGCAAAGCCTCGAAGATAGGGTACTCTTTGGTTATCTCGGCAAAGCCTCGAAGATAGAGGGTACCCTTTGGTTATCCCGGCAAAGTCGCGTAGGTACCGAAAGAGCCGAAGAGGATGGACTCCTGCTGCGGTCCACGAGAGCTTCATGTAGGCGTAGACAGGTTCGAAGGTCAAGGCGATAACAAAAACGTGGTAGTTTTTGTTGTTTCCTTGTTATTTTCTTTGAACCTATCCGCGTGACTTTACCCAAAGACCCAAGAATATGATCCTTCGCCTCCCGAATGTCGCTGCTGCTCCCCGCGCGAACGTCGTCGGTGACGTCGGCGACGACGTCGCCGCTGACGTCGCCACCGACGTCATCGGCGCGTAAGCGCCGCCGGGTGGTCGAGCGCGGTCGGTGCGGTCGCCGCCGTTTGAGCGTCTCCGTCGCTCCGTTTGAGCGTCTTGACGCCGCCGTTTTGCTGACGCCTGAGGGGGCACAAACCGCCGCCGCCACCGCCGCTAATTTTGTTTTCTTGCGCAAATTTTATTTGCGACGTAGGCGCGAGTTTCCGGACCCCCCCCCCCTCCATACACACACATACTGGTCTCTCTCGCGCCCCTGTTAGGTGATGACGACGATGATGATGATGATTTTGTTTATCTCTCGCGCCTGTGTGGTTATGATGATGACGACGGCGATGATGATGATCATCTCACTCTCTCGTGCCTGTGTGGTTATGATGATGGCGGCGACGACGACGACGATGATGATGATGATGATCATCTCACTCTCTCGCGCCTGTGTGGTTATGACGATGATGACGACGATTGCGTCTCTCTGTCACGCCCCTCTGATGTTATGTTGAGGAAGATAATGTCAATGATGATGACGACGATGGTGTGTCTCTCGCGCCTGTGAGGTTATGACGATGATGGCGATGATGATGACGACGATGGTGTGTCTCTCTCTCAACGCCTGTAAGGTTATGACGATGATGATGACAACGATGGTGTGTCTCTCACGCCTGTAAGGTTATGATGATGACGATGATGGTGTGTCTCTCTCTCAACGCCTGCAAGGTTGTGACGATGATGATGATGACAACGATGGTGTGTCTCTCGCGCCTGTAAGGTTATGATGATGATGATGGTGTGTCTCTCTCTCAACGCCTGTAAGGCTATGACGATGATGATGACAACGATGGTGTGTCTCTCACGCCTGTAAGGTAATGATGATGATGACGACGATGGTGTGTCTCTCTCTCAACGCCTGCAAGGTTATGACGATGATGATGATGACAACGATGGTGTGTCTCTCGCGCCTGTAAGGTTATGATGATGATGTCGGTGATGATGATGACGACGATGGTGTGTCTCTCTCTCAACGCCTGTAAGGTTATGACGACGATGATGACGACGATTGTGTGTCTGTCACGCCCCTCTGATGTTATGATGATAATGATGATGTCGATGATGACGATGATGTCGATGATGATGTGTCTCTCACTCGCGCCTGTGAGGTTATGACGATGATGACGACGACGATGCCGACGATCGTGTCTCTATCACGCCTCTCTGATGTTATGATGATAATGATGATGTCGATGATGATGTCGATGATGACGATGATGTCGAGGATGATGACGATGATTGTGTGTCTCACTCACGCCTGTGAGGTTATGACGATGATAACGATGATAACGATGATGTCGAGGATGATGACGACGATTGTGTGTCTCATGCCTGTGAAGTTATGACGATGATGTCGATGATGTCGATGATGACGATGATGTCGGTGATGACGATGATGACGATGATGATGACGATGATCATGATGATGATGTCGGTGATGATGATGACGATGATGGTGTGTCACTCACGCCTGTGAGGTTATGACGACGATGATGACGACGACGATGTTGACGATCGTGTCTCTGTCGCGCCCCGCTGATGTTATGTTGAGGATGACGTCGGTGATGAAGATGATGTCGGTGATGATGATGATGTCGGTGATGACGATGATGATCGTGTGTTTATCTCTCTCGCTCACGCGTGCGTCTTGGATTTTTATACCCCCGACGTACCTGTACCGTTCGGTTTGCCGCGATTAATATTCTTACTTTCAGTTTTGTTGTTGTTTAAACCTTTTTTTAACTTCCGGACCTCTGAATCCTCCATCCAGTAGACACCCGCAGACTCGCACAGAGACCCACAAAGACCCACGGACTCGCACAGAGACCCACATTGACCCACAGACTCGCACAGAGACCCACAGACTCGTACAGAGACCCACATTGACCCACAGACTCGTACGTAGACCCACAGACTCGCACAGAGACCCACAGACTCGCACGGAGACCCACAGACTCGCAGGGAGACCCACAGACTCGCACACAGAGACCCACAGACTCAGCGCTGAGACCCACAGACTCACACATAGACCCAGAGACTCGCACGGAGACCCACAGACTCACACATAGACATAGAGACTCACACAGAGACCCAGAGACTTGCACATAGACCCACAGACTCGCACGGAGACGTTTGGAGCAGATCCTTTCTCGTCGTGGACCCGACGCTGGCCATGAACGTTTACAGAGTTGCCTGCAAGACTGAAAATCAATGGACACTTGCCCCTGCGGTCTGCCGATATCAAATCGCGCATAACAGCCAGCTTCTGTATAGTAGTGTATAGTGTTTAGTAGTGTATAGTAGTGTATAGTGGTGTATAGTGTATAGTGTTTAGCAGTGTATAGTGTTTAGCAGTGTATGGTAGTGTATAGTGTTTAGTAGTGTATGGTAGTGTACAGTGAGGGAAAACAAATATTTGATCCCCTGCTGATTTTGTACGTTTGCCCACTGACAAAGAAATGATCAGTCTATAATTTTAATGGTAGGTTTATTTAAACAGTGAGAGACAGAATAACAAGAAAATCCAGAAAAACGCATGTCAAAAATGTTATAAATTGATTTGCATTTTAATGAGGGAAATAAGTATTTGACCCCCTCTCCATCAGAAAGATTTCTGGCTCCCAGGTGTCTTTTATACAGGTAACAAGCTGAGATTAGGAGTACACTCTTAAAGGGAGTGCTCCTAATCTCAGCTTGTTACCTGTATAAAAGACGCCTGTCCACAGAAGCAATCAATCAATCAGATTCTAAACTCTCCACCATGGCCAAGACCAAAGAGCTCTCCAAGGATGTCAGGGACAAGATTGTAGACCTACACAAGGCTGGAATGGGCTACAAGACCATTGCCAAGCAGCTTGGTGAGGTGACAACAGTTGGTGCGATTATTCGCAAATGGAAGAAACACAAAAGAACTGTCAATCTCCCTCGGCCTGGGGCTCCATGCAAGATCTCACCTCGTGGAGGAAATCAGCCCAGAACTACACAGGAGGATCTTGTCAATGATCTCAAGGCAGCTGGGACCATAGTCACCAAGAAAACA